CTTTCTAATATAGATAGGACCTTGCGCACGCTCTGATTGGTCAAAAAACCATATTTTATCAGAGTATAAAACATAGAAAAAGCGTGTTTTATTCTTTTTCGCCACATTACTTCTATATCATAAAGCAAATGAAGAAGCCCTAGCCGTGCATTACACTGTTATAAAACACTCCAGACATTTGAGAACACTCGAGAAATGTAGAAAACACGAGCCGCAGGTGAGTGTTTTCTACATTTCCCTCGTGTTCTCAAATGCTCGTCGTATTTTAATACAGACATACAAAGTCATACACGGCTTAGGCTTTATCTGTTGAATAAAAAATTGCGACAGACTGAACATTTCTTAAAAGCATTCTGAGATTTAAAAGGCTAGAAAGCTGAATTAAAATGGACGACGTTTCGACGTTACCGTAACGTCATTATCAAGTCAAAAATGAATAAAAAATTAGGTTCTATAAATATTAAGACGAACAATAAGTGATAAAAATAATTTTAAAAATTACAAGTTAAAAAAAAGGTTGGCAAGTACGTTCAAATTAGGTTTGAATTTCTTGATGTAAAGCATTTCAAACAGTAAACAATCAAATTTGCCTTGGCACTTTCTCAGAAAATTGAAATGGCTCTCATTCAAAAGATCGCTCCTACAAGGCGCTTCATGAATAGTCAAATGTGTTCTAAGTCACTTCTTTTCCGGATATTGATACAGTCTGATGGGCTTCCATGGATAGAGACAGCCTATACGAACGGCCTATTGAGCCTATGAAAGAGCTTAATTTGGTTGAGATTTACAGAAGGCTTCACCCATATTCAAAAACATATACCTATGAAACTAAAAATGAAAAACTGAAGTCCAGAATAGATTTCTTTATAATTACGAAACAATTAATCAGTCAAGTTAAGAGAATAGAAACGCTCCGCTCAATCGCACCCGATCACAAGGCTGTTTTTCTTAGTATTGAGATTGACCAAGCACCTGCACGCGGGCCTGGAAATTGGAAATTTAATAACACGCTTTTAAAAGACAATGAATATATTAGCTTAATTAAAAGTAACTACCCCTCCTTTCAAGAAAAGTACTAGAACGTCGAGAATAACGACAATTGCCTATTCCAAAAAGAAAAAGTCCAATTTGAGAAACCGCGAAACTATCATTCAGCGCAAATTAGAAGAGCTATAGATACTGAAATTTGTAATAATCAAAATCTAGATGACGATATTCTAATGGAGTTCGAAAGCCTTAAAAAAGAACTAACTGAAATCTACTCTATAAGGGAAAATAGGCAATGTTCAGATCAAGAACCAGGTGAATCGAAAATGGCGAGAAACCGACGAAGTACTTCTTCAATTTGGAAAAACAGAATTATGAGAAAAAGATCATAACCCAGCTTAAAACAACAGATGGTGAAATTATCTCTGATTTGACTAAGATAAACAAGGAAATAGAAAATTATTACAAAAATTTCCTGACCTCTAGAATCTCGCATGCAAGAAAAAAGTAACGACTATGAGGATCACTTTGCTTTATACACGTCGAACCTACAAAATCCAAAACTTTGCCAAGACAAAGTAAGTGAACTTCAACATGACCTGACGAAAGACTAATTGTTAAATGCCTTAAAAGGCTTCCAACCCAGCAAAACTCCAGGTGACGACGGTTTTACGAAAGAATTTTATCAAACTTTCTTCGAACTTTTATGGAGAAATCTCATTGACTCTTTTAATGAAGCCTTTCAAACAGGCAAGCCATCTATATCTCAGAGGCGAGGAATTATATCGCTTATACCAAAGGACGAAAATAATCTTATGGTTTTAAATAACTGGCGGCCGATAACACTGCTTAACGTCGACTATAAAATACTTGCTATACTAGAGCCATTGCAAAAAGAATAGAACCGAAGCTGCCCAAATTGGTTCACTCAGATCAAACGGGTTTCGTAAAAGGACGATATATCGGCTGAAACGTGAGGCTTTTAAATGACCTAATGGAATTCACTGAGTCAAATAAACTCCCTGGTATATTGCTGTTCATAGACTTTGAAAAAGCCTTCGATACGTTGGAATGGCCTTTATCCAACACGCGCTAAAATTCTTCAATTTTGGCCCAAACATTCGGAAAGGATCTCAGTAATTTATAATGATGTTGAGAGTGGAGTTATTAAAAGAGGATACATGACTAACTACTTTCGGGTGTCAAGGGGCGTAAGGCAAGGATGCCCTCTGAGTCCCTTACTATTCATCCTACGCGTAGAAATTCTGGCACAGAAAATATGTCAAAATCCTAAAATCACATGAAGCTAAACTAAGTCAATTCGCTGATTACACTACATTAATATGCAGGGACACTTCGTCCTTGCATGAAAGTATGTCGGTATTGGGAAAGTTTGGCGATATCTCAGGTTTAAAGCTAAACAGCAAAAAGACAAAGGCTCTGTGGATGGGCTCATCGAAAAACGATAAAACTAAACCCCTTGAAATAAATGTCTCCAATGATCCAACTAAAATTTTAGGAACGTACATTTCACATGACAGCGATAAAAACAATAACCTGAACTTCTTTCTTAAAATCCAAAAGATGGAAACCAAACTAAACATTTGGTTGTCTCGTGACCTTACTCTCATTGGAAGACCCCCCTACTTGCTAAAACGTTAGGAATCTCAAAATTGGTATATACGGCCTCGATGTTAACTGTTCCAGAAGAAGTTATTAAAAGAGTCCAAACGAAACTTTTTAATCTTTTTATGGAAAAACAAAAAAGACAAAATTAAAAGAGAAGTCCTTTTTCAAGAAATGAGAAAAGGTGGTCTTAATTTTCCAAATTTTGCCATCACAGTTAAAGCGCTCCGTTTAAGCTGGATCGGAAGACTGTTAGAAAAAAATCCTTCTAATGATGCTTGGAAAGCTATACCAAATGCTTTTTTTGAAAAGTATGGAGGTCTCAACTTCTTACTTCAATGCAGTTATAATACAAAGAAGTTAGACAAAAGTGTATCGTTATTTTACTTAGAAATGCTAGATTACTTTCAGGAATTACGCCAGGTCAGCCAGGATAGCTACCAAAGTGACCTTATTCTTTGGAATAACCAAGACATAACCATGAAATTGAAGGCAAATCGCTTTATTGGAGGAGGTGGACCGAAAATGGAATTTATTATTTTCAAGATATTTTAAATGAAAATGGTAAATTTCTTACTTTTCAAGAATTTAATCGAAGGTACAATATGTCAGCTAATTTTTTAAACTTTTTTCAAATCCTTGCGTCTATTCCACCGAACCTCAAATCGAAGGCGGCTTCTACGCTAAGACCTAAGAATTCTGTTCTCGATAGTTCTGACAGTTTTGACTTTTCCACTGAAAAATCGGTTCTTCTTTCTAAAATGAAATGTAAAGACTACTACCTTCTGTTCCAAGAAAAATCAGAGGTTACACCTACAGCCATCAAGTCTTGGGTCAAACATTACTCTGGCATAGAAGATAAATGGAAAAAATTATTCAAAAATATACCTCACCTCTCGACCGACAACAAATTGAGACAATTCTCCTTTAAATTATTACACCGTATATTAGTGACCAAAAAGAAGCTCAAAAGGTTCAAAATTTCCGAAAGCGAAGATTGTTTTTACTGTAAATCCCCTGATTCCTTGGACCATGCATTTCTGGAGTGTTCTGCCGGTCTAAACATCTTTCAAAAAGTTATTGCATGGTTCAAAATGAGCACAGAGTTAACTTTACACCATCTAAAATACAGCTACTATTTAAGGACTATGATCTCCTCCCAAATACGAGCCCAAACCTCACCCGTAAGTGAATTGTGTAATGTAGTGAATTGTCTGCATCTGATGGTAATTAGACTAAAATAGACCCCCACAACAAAACATCAGCATCTTTTCGATAACCGATTCTCATTGATTCATTGACTACGTGGCGATTCTGAACTATCTTTGTTTTATTTTGCTCCTTTCTCGCCTTCTTACTCTGCACTTGAAAACTACAACTGACTTAGGTTTTCTTTAAGAAAAAAAACCTAAAAAAAATATCGAGTCAAAGCTGTTTTCTACAATTAGAACAATTAACACGAGAAACACATTAATTATCTTAGTTTATATCGTTTGCCATTCTAAACGAACGTGTAAACTCAACACACCACTGTCATTACACCATAGTGGTTTCAATGCAGCATTTCTCTGTGCAGTGTATTCAATTTGAATAATAAACATGTTAACTCGTGAATCATGGGGATTTACCTGCACTGGTTCACCAACAATGAACTCGAAATTTTCAATACCGCACGAGGCAAAGCCTCGTGCGTTATTGAAATTTCTCGTTCATTGTTGGTGAACTCGTGCAGGTAAATTCCGATAATTCACGAGCAATGAGTGCGTTAACCTGTTATTAATTCAGCATTACTGATCAAAGGATAGAGGAATGCGCATAACCCAGTGTAAAAAAATACTTCGAAGACAAGGACGACTCGGACAAAAGAATCGTTATGATGTTGAGGTCAAAGAGAATCATATTGTAACTGTTTTAGAGTATTTACTATAGTTACACTATAGTATTTGCATGTTAAGTTATTTCATGTTATTTTTTATTTCTTCTTCAAAGATATTAACTAAAGATATTGCGACGCGGCCAGTTTCAGATTTTGATCTGCATCATGCGCGGGGTGATCAAAGGGCAAGACATATCACCTGAGCAATTATGCTAAAAATATACACAGCATTGTGTTGCAGTAATGATCAGTAGACTGTTCTTAATGAAAAATGATTAAAGATCAGCACAGTGGGAAACAACTAATGTTTCATGAGAAACAATCATTCTCCTCACTAATTAAAAGTTGTGTCTTTTGTTCCTTCCCTCTGCAAATCAAGAACAGTGTCTGCAGTTATTGTCTGGACAACGCCATTTATTCTTCTCTAAGTCACGTATACACGTTTTAAAGCTAATTTTAGGCTTCACATTATGCAAATTAGATGTTATAAAAACTCGGATTCATTGCTGCTTTGTCAGAAGTTGATCATCTTCTTCCCAACTACTCCGAAGATTCCAAACGATTCGAGGAAAGTTGCAGCGCAAAGTGAGGTATTAGTCTATTCAGTACATAACGTTCCCGAATTGTAGCGCGTCTCTTTTTAAGCCTAGTGTTGTCTTTAAACAGAAGAATATTGGTCAGTTACATAGGCGTGGAATTTAGAGGGGGCCGAAAAGGTTTTTTTACCTTTAGCTGGCAACGTAGCGTCTTTATGTGTTGTTGGTATGGAGTGAGGTTGCCCTCTGGCTGCAATTTCTCAGTCCACTCTTCTGAATTTTCCGAACCTGAAAAGGTAATATTAATCAGAGAACACATTGATTATCTCTGCAGTCTCCACAACAGCCAAGCCAATACAGAGATGAAGATTGCCGGAGTTTTGCTTATTATTAGCCTGGCTCTGTGTGCCATGGAATGCAGTGTGTCAGGTATTTAAATTCCTTGTTGCCTATAGGAATTTCTTCAGCTCATCTGATCAAGTTACCAAGGGTACAGATACAATGTTAAACATAGTACAAGTCTTTTTGCGACGAGTTAACTGAATGGTTACAGTGCTGGACACCTGATCGAGAGGTCCGTGTTCGAGTGCTGGTCGAGGTTATTGTGTTGTGTTATTTGGTCGGACAATTTAATCTTTCAGTGCCTCCCTCAGTGCAGGAGTATAAATACGGAACAGCAGACTATCAGGGAAACCTGACGGAGTACTAAATGGGGGCGGGAGTACCCTGTAATGGACTCAAATTCAATCCAGGGGAAGGAAGCAATACCCTTAGTCGTTTCAAGAAAAAAGAGTTGAGATGTGCCGATTTGAGCTATACCTTTGTCGCGTACTCACTTTGCCTCACCCGTCTAAATAAATATGTCTTACCATGTCTAACATTGTGAGCATCATGTCCGTAGATCAGTTGCTCTGTTACCAAGCAGCCTTTACATGGCCGAACAGTTACGCAGTAGAAACCGGCGAACCGTAGACGGCGGTAGCTTTGAAGATGCAAAGTTGCTAAATTCATAACTTTCTTGCAGCTTTTCGCCTCAAGGAAAAGGATTTTCCAAGAAAAATTCAAAACGATGGATCATTCTCTTACGGTAAGTCTAACAAAATTATACTTCCCCTTCGTCTTGAGGTTCTTTCTAGAAAGACACTTCGCTATCACAGTCCCTCCTACCACCCAAGATTATAAAATGGTTACCGTCGAACTTCTTTAGGAAAACTTAATTATATATAAGATATGGAGGGGGTAACCTGCAATAAATTTGCATCCCATCCAGGAGTGAATAGCAATACTTCCACCCTTTCACTATGCTGACACTGGTTTGGGTCACTTAACTCGAGCTCGTGCACAGACTTTGTAAAAAAATACACCAGACTAAGTAGCTATAACTACATAGTTTGCTCTGACTCTTACATTGCCAAACCGCATCTACATGGCCGAACAGTTAAAAGATACTGAGAAACAAGCGATGTTTGTTAAATTCTGCAAAAACTCAAAACGATGGATCGTCCACAACTTCATGTAAGTCGACGAACGAAAATTCGAGAAAGATACTCAAGGGACCTCTACTAGAATTACATAGTAATTGTTATCTATGAATCACAAATGTTAACTTCGTCAATGATTTATGGAAATGAGCAGGACAGGATGATTTTTGTGATCTTTTCTGAATCGAGTTGACGAAAATTCTCAATACAAGCATGATACGTCGCAGAAGAGATCTAGGAGACTTAAATGTAATTATCCATTAGTGTATTGTGTTAAAAAAAAAAAAACTAATGTGGTTGCTAAAACTCCTAACAAAACACTTTTAAAGATGAATGGTGCAATGTTACTTGGAAAGATCGCAATGACTAAGCAGACTTCGCTTGCTCAAGATCAGTTATCCTTAATAAAAATCCTCAGCAAGACTTCTTGGTAAAAATATACTTGCCAAAAATCTCTCAGAGACGCTAAATGCCAAATACTTTTCTACTAAGATACACCTACATCAATGTGGTTAGCTTAACGATCAGTTGTAAGTACCAACCGTGACAAAGTCAACTGTAGCAACACTTTAAAATCTTGAACGAGGGTCTCGGCTCATTAGTCTCCAAAGTAAATGTCTGATTTTTTTTTCTTTCTTTCAGATGTCCATAATGAGCCTGAGGAAGACCCCGGAAAACTGGAAAACATCGGACAAGCTGTTGGTAAGTTTGGCCGAGATTTTTCTCTTTGACATCATTTCATTATCGTTATTATTACCATTATCATCATCATTATCATCACATCAGCAGCAGCAGCAGCGTTGAAATCGTCATCCATCATCGTTATAGTTTTTGCTTTATTTATGTCTTTTTTGAATACCACACGTGTGTTTTATACCTGTTTGCAGATTCGAAAGCTTGACTAAAGAAAAAATTGGAGTTTTCAGATCATTTTTCTTATGTTTTTCAACATTACAGACATTTTCAAATGCCGTGGACCTGCGAGTTTGTCCAAATTCAAACACAATTTTGCATCTAACTTGTCAGTTTTTGATGTGCATGTATAGTGCAATTTGAGCTAAAAAAAAAAAACCTGAAAAGCACTTCACAATGGGCTAGCGCGCTATAATTAGACTTAATAATTAATAATTTACATTTATATAGCGCAAACCTCTATATGAATATATTCGGTTGCGCTTTACAATATTGTTATATTAAATTTATGTTAAAGGTGACTAAAGCATGAGCAACTATTAAAAACTACAATAAAAAGTATTAAAAACTATAAATAAAAATAAATAAATAAATAATGATAATAATTAAAAAAAAAAAAAAAAAAAAAAAAAAAAAAAAAAAAAAAAAAAAAAAAAAAAAAAAAAAAACTATTATAAAAGCCAACAATTAAATCTATTTAAAAGCTAAATTGAAAAAATGAGTTTTAACAGCAGTCTTAAAAGTGTCCAATGTCTTCATGTTGCGAATTTCCGAAGGTAATGCATTCCAGAGATAAGGTGCAGCTGACTGGAATGCACGATCGCCAAGAGTTGGATGGGTCTTAATGCATGGTAACTCGAGGAATATAGACTCATTTGACCTTAGAGAGTACTTGGATTGCTTTTTGGTAGTAATGAAATCAATTAGATAATTAGGAGCTTGACCATATAAGCACTTAAATGTCAAAAGTAGAATCTTAAACTTTATACGGTAACTTATTGGAAGCCAATGAAGGTGGAAAAGCAATGGTGTAACATGGCAGAATCTAGGTGTTCCGGTGACCAACCGAGCCGCGGCATTCTGTATCCGTTGGAGTTTCATGATATGTGAATTCGGGAGGCCATATAGTAGACTGTTACAATAATCTATTCTACTGGTGATAAAAGCATGAACTAATGATTCGGTGACTGAACGACTTAAATATTTCCTAATTCTACGCATGTTATAAAGATAATTGAAAGCGGATGAGCAAGTTTTGTTGATATGACTTAGCATACTCATTTTAGAATCAAACCAAGCTCCTAGGTTTCGAACTTCAGAAGATGGAGCAATTTGGGAGTCCCCAACCGATAAGGTACTAATGTTACTGACTTTCTGAAGTTGTTGTCGTGTTCCAATCAGAAGACATTCTGTCTTATCGGAATTCAGTTTTAACTTATCCGAATGCATCCATCTACTGATATCAACAATACATGATTCCATGGCAGTTATAGCAGCGGTCTCCTCCAAATCATTTCCTGATCTAAACGCGATGTACAGTTGCGTGTCATCTGCATAACAATGGGAATTAGGAAGATGTGATTCGACGATCTTAAAAAGTTTACTAGCATAGAGGGAAAACAATAATGGCCCGGGACAGCTGCCTTGTGGAACTCCAAATTTAAGATTAAAATTACTCGATAGAACTCCGTCTATATAGATGCGCTGGGTTCTGTTAGAAAGGTACGATTCAATCCAATTAAGTGCAGAGCCTGAAATTCCAAAATCAAACTGAAGGCGATCTAAGAGAATCCTATGGTCCACGGTATCAAACGCGGCGCTTAAATCAAGAAGCACTAACAACGTGACCTTCTGATTTTCCATGTTCATCAGAATGTCATTCTTGACTTTAAGCAGGGCAGTTAACTCATAAGGTTCTTCATCCTCGATTATGGCTCCAGAGTAGTCTATAAAATTAGCTCGAACTCTTTTAACCATTTGCAACTCGAATAATTTTTCAATTTAAGACAGTTGTAAGTACCAACCGTGACAAAGTCAACTGTAGCAACACTTTAAAATCTTGAACGAGGGTCTCGGCTCATTAGTCTCCAAAGTAAATGTCTGATTTTTTTTTTCTTTCAGATGTCCATAATAAGCCTGAGGAAGACCCCGGAATACTGGAAAACATCGAACAAGCTGTTGGTAAGTTTGGCCGAGATTTTTCTCTTTGACATCATGTCATTATCATTATTATTACCATTATCATCATCATTTATCATCACATCAGCAGCAGCAGCAGCAGCAGCGTTGAAATCGTCATCCATCATCCTTATAGTTTTTGCTTTATTTATTTCTTTATTGAATATCACACGTGTGTTTTATACCTGTTTGCAGATTCGAAAGCTTGACTAAAGAAAAGATCATTTTTCTTATGTTTTTCAACATTACAGGCATTTTCAAATGCCGTGGACCTGCGACTTGGTCCAAATTCAAACACAATTTTGCATCTAACTTGTCAGTTTTTGATGGGCATGTATAGTGCAATTTGAGCTAAAAAAATAACCTGAAAAGCACTTCACAATGGGCTAGCGCGCGCTATATTAGACTTAACTCATAAGGTTCTTCATCCTCGATTATGGCTCCAGAGTAGTATATAAAATTAGCTCGAACTCTTTTAACCATTTGCAACTCGAATAATTTTTCAATTTAAGACAGAAGTCTTTACATATAGAATAGTTTTCCCACTGTTGTTTGTCAATGTGGAGTTCGCATGTGATGTCACGCACGGCTTCCTGCTTTATGTCACGCTAGTGATGTCATGCTTTGCTTTGCGCATGATGTCACGTATCTTATCAAGGTTGTTAACGGCAGGGAACTTCATGCTAGAAATGAGTCCATTAGAACGAACGAGTTTGTCTTTCAATGATGTAAACAGTTTTAACTCGTTTTTAGATCCCTGCGGAGACGTTTGGACGAAGTTTGAAGAGTACTGTTATCATGTGAGCGGTGAAACATTTACTGAGCAACAGGCTGAACAGTACTGTGACCAAAAGATGGACGCAAATTTGGCAAAGATCAACAGCCAGGAAGAAAACAACTTTGTCTTGGACCTCGCGCATAAGCATGCTCCATCGGCGAAAAAGGTCTGGATTGGACTGAAGTGGGAAAATGGTCCCAAAGATTACTACTGGTATGATCACTCCTTCCCAACCTTCAAAAATTGGGCCCCTGATGAACCAAATGGAAAAGCCAATGAGCCATGCGCTGAATTGTATGTCGGACAATACCAGCTGCTACCCCAAAGGGGGGCCGGTTATTGGAATGATGCGCCCTGTGGAGGGAAAATTCCTGCAGTTTGCAAGAGGCTCTACTAG